CTCCTAGACACTTCCTAGACACTTCCTTGTTCCACCTCCCGCCCGAGGAGAAGGCGTGGAGACACTTCCTAGACACCTCCTAGACACCTCCTAGACACTTCCTAGACACTTCCTTGTTCACACCTCCCGCCCGAGGAGAAGGCGTGGAGACACTTCCGAGACACTTCCTAGACACTTCCTAGACACTTCCTTGTTCACACCTCCCGCCCGAGGAGAAGGCGTGGAGACACTTCCTAGACACCTCCTAGACACTTCCTAGACACTTCCTTGTTCACACCTCCCGCCCGAGGAGAAGGCGTGGAGACACTTCCTAGACACCTCCTAGACACTTCCTAGACACTTCCTTGTTCACACCTCCCGCCCGAGGAGAAGGCGTGGAGACACTTCCTAGACACCTCCTAGACACCTCCTAGACACTTCCTTGTTCACACCTCCCGCCCGAGGAGAAGGCGTGGAGACACTTCCTAGACACCTCCTAGACACTTCCTAGACACTTCCTTGTTCACACCTCCCGCCCGAGGAGAAGGCGTGGAGACACTTCCGAGACACCTCCTAGACACTTCCTAGACACTTCTTTGTTCACACCTCCCGCCCGAGGAGAAGGCGTGGAGACACTTCCGAGACACCCCCTAGACACTTCCTAGACACTTCCTTGTTCACACCTCCCGCCCGAGGAGAAGGCGTGGAGACACTTCCGAGACACCTCCTAGACACTTCCTAGACACTTCCTTGTTCACACCTCCCGCCCGAGGAGAAGGCGTGGAGACACTTCCTAGACACCTCCTAGACACCTCCTAGACACTTCCTAGACACTTCCTTGTTCACACCTCCCGCCCGAGGAGAAGGCGTGGAGACACTTCCGAGACACTTCCTAGACACTTCCTAGACACTTCCTTGTTCACACCTCCCGCCCGAGGAGAAGGCGTGGAGACACTTCCTAGACACCTCCTAGACACTTCCTAGACACTTCCTTGTTCACACCTCCCGCCCGAGGAGAAGGCGTGGAGACACTTCCTAGACACCTCCTAGACACTCCCTAGACACTTCCTAGACACTTCCTTGTTCACACCTCCCGCCCGAGGAGAAGGCGTGGAGACACTTCCTAGACACCTCCTAGACACTTCCTAGACACTTCCTTGTTCACACCTCCCGCCCGAGGAGAAGGCGTGGAGACACTTCCTAGACACCTCCTAGACACTTCCTAGACACTTCTTTGTTCACACCTCCCGCCCGAGGAGAAGGCGTGGAGACACTTCCGAGACACCTCCTAGACACTTCCTAGACACTTCCTTGTTCACACCTCCCGCCCGAGGAGAAGGCGTGGAGACACTTCCGAGACACCTCCTAGACACTTCCTAGACACTTCCTTGTTCACACCTCCCGCCCGAGGAGAAGGCGTACCGGCGGCAAGAGTACGCCCGCTCCCGCAGCGGCGGCGGCACCGCGCGCCGCGCCGCCGCCGCGCCCGCCTCCGCCGCCTCCGCCGCCGCCGCTTCCCCCGCCGCCACTGTCGCCGCCTCCGCCGCCGCTGCGAACGATCTCGAGGTAGAGGCGGTCGCGATGGACGAGGGTGTCGGCGAGAGGCTCCCACCGCTGCCCGAGCAGAGCGGCGGGAGCGCGGAGGCGGCGGCGGCAGGTTCGCTAGCGGCGGCTGGCGGCGGCGGCGGCGGCGGCGGCGGCGGCGGCGGCGGCGGCGGCGGCGGCGGCGGCGGCGGCGGCGGCGGCGGCGGCGGCGGAGGCGGCGGCGGCGGCGGCGGCGGCGCGCTCTCTCCGGCCTCCTCCAGGGCTCCTTGGCTGCCTCTCTCTCATGCAGCGGGAGGCATTGCTCTCGGCAGCGGCACGGGGCGCTTCCGGACCGTCTCCGCGGACTCGAACTCTGGCGCGAGCTCCC